CTGTCTACAGTCATCTGTCTGTCTACAGTCATCTGTCTGTAGTCATCAGTCTGTCTACAGTCATCTGTCTGTCTGTAGTCATCTGTCTGTCTGTAGTCATCTGTCTGTCTACAGTCATCTGTCTGTCTACAGTCATCTGTCTGTTAATCTGCACTGTCACCAGGTCTCAGGACTTCATGCCCATCCTGGAACTCGTTGACATTTTTATCCGCTGCCTGAGTTCAATCCGCAAACTCCCGGCGCACGTGGTGTGGCACATGCAGTGTTAACGCACATGCGGTGTGTGAGGAAGAGGAAGGACGCTTTCTCTGACATTTTACCCTCCAAGTGTTGAAGAACTTCTCCCTCCAGTCTTCAAAGATGTCCTCTTTCCCCTCCAAGAAGCTGACACCTGCAGGACACACGAGAGGACATCTATCTGTGCATCTTTACGCACGTGCTTACCCAAAGTGTCGAAGTAAAACAAACCCACAGGGACCGGTTTGACTTTACAAAGTTGACGTCATACAGGAGGAAATGAAAGGAGGGACCTCCAACCTGTGTAGAAGACACTGGTGGCCAAAGGAGATGCAAAGCTTTGGTCCAGCAGCAGTTTCCGGAACACCATCCCGGCTGATTTTCCCGGGAAATGTCTCTCCAGCGCGTGGAGCCAGAAGTAATTAAAGTTGCCATGGAAACTGATGGCCACAATGGCCACATTGCGTGTGTGTTTCCAGTCCATGCGCTCCTTCTGGGCCATGAGCTGGTGGAGCACGTCCCCCCCCAGAGAAAAGGCAGCCGTACAGGGTAACGTTGGCCAGCCAGGGGAACCGCTTGACGATTTCTTTCAGCACCGTGTGCCTCATCTTGGAGACCGCACGTTCCCGCGGGGGCTTAGGGCTTCAGGTCAGCCAACATGGAGGCTAAAGTCTCCCGAGGAGGTCCTGATGTCCCCGGTTGCCTGACAGGACACAGTGCGTGTGAGCGCGGTGATCCCTGAGGATTAAAGTTTCCACCGGAAACAGGAGACTCTGTCATCATCAGAGCTCGAGACAGACAGAAAACCAGCAGGAGAGAGCCTTGCAGAACAAATCTGAAAAGAGACAGAGGCGGCTCTAATCCGAGGGATTGTCTGGGTCCAGTCCAATAACAGGGCCCGCACCGATGTGACATCATCAACGGCAGTGTGGGCTGTGGAGGTGAGAGAAGTGGTCTTAATGATGCGATTAAAACAAGAAAATGAGATTTAATCTGAAGAGTCTGAGGGAGGGAATAAAGCAATTCATGATAAATCCGTCAGAGGCTTCTTCAGGTCCACTGTAAGACAGAAGAGATCCTTCCTGCCCACAGCAGCATCTAAACAAAGTCTCTTTCATGAAACCAGAACGATGAGTTACATTTCATTTACCTCTGGGATTAATTGAGTATTTCTGAATTGAATTAATCAAGTCCTCTTCTCCTCTGTTACCCCCGCAAAAAGCCAAAAATCAGCTGTAAATTTTTTATCATACAAATTAAAACAAACAGTTACTTTACCAGAGGTTAGAGCTAAAAGATAGCTCAGGAAACCCAACCCGACCCTAAGTATAGGAGCCAACCCTAACTATATGAACTGACCTTAACTATAGGAGCTAACCATGACTATAGGAGCCGGCACTAACTATAGGAGCCAACCATAACTATAGGAGCCAACACTAACTATAGGAACTAACAATAAATATAGGAGCCGACCCTAACTACAGGAGTACACCCTAACTATAGGAGCCGACTCTAACTGTAGGAGCCGACCTTAACTATAGAACCTGACCTTAACTATAGAGCCGACCATAACTATAGGAGCCGACCATAACTATAGGAGCCGACCATAACTATAGGAGCCGACCATAACTATAGGAGCCGACCATTACTATAGGAGCCGACCTTAACTATAGGAGCCGACCATAACTATAGGAGATGGCCTTAACTATAGGAACCAACCATAACTATAGGAGCCGACCATAACTGTAGGAGCCGACCATAACTATAGGAACTGACAATAAATATAGGAGCCGACCCTAACTATAGGATTTATCAAAACAGAAAAACTTAAGCCTAATCTTAAAAGTTAACAAGGTGTCAGCCTCACAGACAAAAACTGGAAGTTGGTTCCACAAGAGAGGAGCCTGATAACCTCCTTTAACGCATCATCAAGTTGGACGTTTGTCCAACACCTTACAGTTCTACTGGTACATCTCAATGGCGACTCCAAACAGCCAAATTTTGCGGTCAGTATTGCCGAGCTTGTAACTTTTCAAGGTTGATTCGTTCTACCAGCGAGATTCAGGAACCGCAAGTAGACTGTGATTCTCAGCAGAAATTGCGTCTAGCTTACGGCTCAGTTCACACAGTATTTGAGTCTGAGTGTTCACAGCACGGCACATTCCTCTGCCTGGCAGGTTCACAATGGCCAAAACAGCTGTCAACGTTTTTCAAATTTGTTGATATGCCAGGTAACCATCAACTCCAAAAAGCACAAATCCTGTTATCATGAATACAATTATGTACACATCTTCAACATCCTCGACTGACAATGTGGACAGACACATGATCTTCCACAGCCCCAGGAATCCATTGTGTATCTGGCTGCAAGTGTCCCATTGGGGATGGAGGGTTCTCCTTCTCCCTGTCTTCTCGTTGAGAAAATTTAATCAATTGTGTTTGGAGGCCAGCTGACCAGATCCATAATTTACAATTTGGAAGATATGCAAAGAGAAGCTCCAAAAGGTTCACAGGACAAAGAGCAGAAGCAGGGGAAGGAGCAGGAGGAAAAAGCATCTGCCTTCACCGAAAGCAAGAAGAAAAAAAAACTAGCCAGGTCCCCTTAGGTAGCATGGAACATCTGAGACTAGTTCCTGTTAGCGACTGGGACCCTACGCCATCTGGGTGACGGTCCGGAGCAAGCATAGTGCTAAGGCTAAGTCCCCAGTTCACCACTGACCTGTTCACATTTCTAATCGATTTTCCTTGCTCAGTGACACACCCACTGAGAAGCAGACGCTGGTTATTGGCAGCTCCATAGTCCGAAATGTGGTTTTAGGGACTCCAGCGGCCATAATGCATTCTGGGAGCCAGAGCAGGTGACATTGAATTTTATCTGAAACTGCTGACTAAGGCTAAGGCTAAATACAATAAGATTGTTATTCACGTCGGCGGTAATGACACCCGGTTACGCCAATCCAAGGGCGTCAGAAGCATCTGTAATGTGGGGGTGGGGGACACAATGATGTGCGTAGGTGTGTGTGCGCGCGTGTGATCAGGGTCCAGTCCAGGGTCCAGTCCAGGGTCCAGTCCAGGGTCCAGTCCAGGGTCCAATGCGGGGTCCAGTCCGGGGTCCAGTCCAGGGTCCAGTCCAGGAAGCAGAGTTGTAGTCCTCTACACCTCTCTGCTGCTTCTCTTCTGTTACCCATTCAAACTCCCATTGAAACGGTGTCAATTTGCTCACAGCTCAAATTAAATAAACCAAAAATCAGCTCTAAATATATAAATCATAAAAATCTTATAAAAATAAACAAAGTTACTTTACCATAACAAATGAATAAAATCATTAAATGTGGATTATTGAACATCAGATCTCTTTCCTCTAAATCCCTGTTAATTAATGAACTGAACTGAGTGTCATATTGATTTATTCTGTCTGACCTGGCTACAACAGGAAGATTTTGTTAGTATAAATGAATCCACTCCTGTTAATAATTTAAATGTTTAAGCTCCTAGAACAATTCAAGGTGGAGGAGTATCTTCTATTTTTCAGTCAGCATCATTAACTCTTTCAATTCAGATTGTTTATATAGCGTCAAATCACAACAAAGTTGTCTCAGGGCACTTTACAGGAACATTCACATACATAGAAAAGCCAATTAGTAAAGTTCTCTATCTAAGGAAGCAGCAGACAAGTTGAATCTTGACTTCTTTGCAGTCTCTCATCCAGAGCAAACACAATGGCAACAGTGGAAATGAAAAACTCCTTTTTAAATGGAAGAAACCTCCAGCAGAACCAGGCTCAGGACAATCTGCTTTGACCGGCTGGTTTGAGAGGACAGGAAGGAGAGACGAACGAACACAGAATGGCAGGTCCAGGTATAGGTGCAGGTGAACCTGAAAGACAAAAACACATGATAAGGACAGAAACAATAATTACAAATACAAAACAGGTTGAGCAGAGTAAGTAAAGACAGGAGCAGAGTGAAAAAATGTGGTCAGTTTGTCCTTCAGCAGTCAACAAGAGACAGCTCAGGAAACCCAAACTGACCCTAACTATAGGATTTATCAAAAAGGAAAGTCTTAAGCCTAGTCTTAAACCTGGACAATGTGTCAGCCTCACGGACAGAAACTGGAAGTTGGTAGAGAGGAGCCTGATAACTGAAAGCACTGCTTCCCATTCTGTTTTTGGAAACTCTAGGAACCGCGAGTAAACCTGCAGCCTGAGAGCAAAGTGCTCTGTTAAGAAAATATGGAACGATAAGCTCTGTAATGCCATTCATGCCTGTACATCAAGCCTTGCTCTGGATTATGACCTCATGCCTGTTTCCTGGATGATCGCTTTGCTCCTTGACCTGATTTGGATTTCTCTTTCTGCCCATTGTGACGAACCCTGCTTCTTATATCTCGACTTCCCCTCACAGACTTCATTCTTGGATTGATTATTTGGATGTCTGTCTCCTGTTATTGACTCCCGCTTTGCCTCACAGATACCACTCTTGGATTTGCCCCCCGACAAACCACGGACGGCAGCTGTACTGACAGTGACGTCATCATTGCCACGCTCTTCCTGGAGCCTGTGAGGACCTGTTTACTCAGCAGACCCTGACTTCTCACCAAACAGCCAATAATACATAAAAACTGTTCTTTTGTATTCTTGTGTTTGGCTTATTTGAATCCAAAACCCGATCCTGACAGAATAATTCGGCCAAATATGGATTAGAAGGAACCCAGACCCGTAGTCATTCCATATGATGCAGGAGTTTCAGAGAAACAGATGTTTATTTTCCAAACACAATGTCCCAGTGGCGTTTAAACCCTAAAATACATTAAAGACTGGTTCATCCCAAAGATCCAGTCCCCCAGCACAAACATATGTTATTCAGTGCCAGGAGGGGGATCAGTCTTACATTGGGGAAACTAAACAGCCACTTGCCAAAAAGATGGACCAGCCCAGAAGAGCAACATCATCAGACCAGGACTCAGGTCTACACTCATCTCCAGGCCAGAGGTCACTCATTCAGAGATGAAGATGTTCACATCTTTGATAGAGAGGAATGATGGTTTGAGAGAGGAGTAAAGGAGGCCATCTTTGTGATCTTTGATCTTTGATCCATTGTTAGGCTGATGGTCCTCGTTGATCATGTGAGCAACTAGTTTTGGATGTCACCAACAAACTGGTTGGCCCACTATGAGAAGGTGATATTTATAAGATTGAGTTGAATACAGCACCTCAGACTGAAGAAGTCTTTTGGATGAGAGATGAAACGTTTCAACAATTTTTTTTTTGTTTGTTGAACGTCCAGAGGACCTGACTTAACTTTTTTTAGATTTGTCTACCTGGATTATTGAGCATGCATCAGGAAATATAGTATAAATTAAAGTATGATAAATAAAGTATAGTTTTTGTCTTGAACTTTTTGAATTTGTCGTTATAGCCACTTTTACCTATTACGTGATACAACGGCATGCCCTACTACTCTGCTGTCATCTAGTGGCTGAAAGTGGTACTGTTTCATTTTTTCAGTCATAAATATGGGAAACAAAATCCATAAATACATCACTTCGGCCTACAAGTCGCAGGACATACAAATTATGCAAAAAAACATGACTTATACAGTGAAAAATATGTTACTCCAATTCTGCTTTGCTGTGGATGCATTGCGCTGTGTTGTCTTTAAAATGTTCCTAAATTTTTTAAAGGATTTTTGTAATCGAGGTACTCGAATTATTCGAGGAATCGTTTCAGCTCTAATCGGGTCCTACTAAACCCAGCCGGTCGAAGCAGATGGCCGCCTGTCCTGAGCTTGGTTCTGCTAAAGGTTTCTTCCTCATGAGGGAGTTTTTTCTTTCCACTGTCGCCTTCATGCTTGCTCAAGACGAAAGTTTTGTGATGGAGTTAAATTCAAAGCAGTCTGCTCCTCGGATAGTGTTAATTTATAATTTTTTTTATATATGAATGTTTCTGTTCAGAGCCCTGAGATGACTTCTGTTGTGACTTGGCGCTATATAAATAAACTGAATTGAACATAGAAGTCGGGGCTTTTATTTTTATTTTCTCAACGTACATCAATCTTTATTCAGCATCACATGAGGTTTTTAAAAATATGTATATAAATTTCATTTTTCTGCAGCAAACTTTTTTAACTTCAAAACTTTGTTTTAAATATATAACTATATAAAAAGTATTCATGGCTGAACGGAATGTGACTAAATTAAATAAATATCTGTAGAAAACGAATAAAAATACATTTAAAAGAGTCGTTTGTTAACAATATAAAATATTAAAATGTTTTTCTCAAGAACTGCTATTTAATCAGCTCCGCTAACGAAGGACCGTTTGTTTGAGGGAGGGGCAGAAAAGATAAACTCTTATTTCTATTGGGTATTTTATACGTCATTCAGATTAATCTGATCTGTGATTGGCTGTTCTTCTAATCCCGTCGAAGGGGCTGGTCTCTGATTGGTTGCGCTTGTTGAATCCGCGGAAGTGTCATCGTGTTCGGACCTGAGCGGAACTTGTCGGATTTAAAGCGGCTGGTTTTGACGAGTCGAAGTTGATTCGAGACTTTTGGGACAAAATGAGCACCGAGGAGCTCTGAAGCAGGTACATTTGTAAACTTCTCTTAAGAAAGGGCTGGACTTGTGTTTCCCTTAATTTTCCGAGCTCCCCATCTGTTTGGACTCAACAAACAAACTTTAGTTTCTCTGTTTATCTGATAAGTTTAGCAGAAACTCCGGAAATGAGGCGACATGTTTAAAACCACCTCCAGCTGCTCGCTTCCGGTTTGAAGCGTCACTTTTTAGCCTTTTGTAAAGCCAGACCTTTTGTCTTTAATTATGTTTTAAACGAACAGCTTTGCTGCCGATGTTTTTCTAGCACATTGTTTATGTGAAAAGTCTCTTTTGTTTGTATTAAATCTGAGCAGCGCTTGCTGACTGTGACGGAAACTATAAAAACAGGAGATTTTCTAACGGAGTTCCGCGTTGAGGCGGTTGTCGGTTTAGTTCCTCCAACATGGAAGCTGTTCACAACAAGTGTCAACTTGTTCGGTTCGGAAGCCGAACCAAGCCCTGTGCTGACTGTTTTTATGAAACACTATAAAACTCTTTAAGACGAGAAGGACGTTTAATAATAATAATCTTTTTTGAACCAGGTTTGTCCTACTGAGATCAAAAAATCTCTTACAAGAGAGACTGGCAGCATACAGAGAGCGAAAAACATAAACACTCAGTTACAACACATACCAACATAATACGGTTGTTCTTGGAAAGTTCTGTTTCAAGAGCAAGCAACTCAAGCTCTTTTAAGGCTGATTGTTTAAGCACTATATTAACATTAAACTTGCTCTGAATATAAATTGCAACGCTGCCCCAAGTTCTTCATGGATGATCAGCGTGATACACACTAACCATCTATGCAAATATTCTTATCACTCAGATTTTGTAAGCCAGGTTTTGGTTAAAATGATATCAACATTTCTTGTGTGTATATCCATACCTTTTATCAAGTCTATCTTTTTTAACAGGCTCCTGATATTTATATGTAATAGTCCAAGTTTAAAGTTTTCCAAGTTTAAAATCTGCTGGGGTGTCACATTGTACTGGTGTATCTGGGCCTGGATTAGTCTCTACATTCCCTGACAACAACAGCAATAATACAATTAAACATTTAAGCCTGGTACTACCTTTTACATCAGCCCCACGGCTTGAAAGACAAGTATTAGTAATAGAAGGGAGTGGGGAACTACAAAAATGCTTACTCAAAACAAAACAAAAAAACTACTAAAATGAAGTGACATGCCAGGTTTAAGGTTTAAGCAACCTCTTGGATGTGTTAAAGGATACTGCTACCTTTTGGTCATGTAAACTTATTAGAGTAGCTCTGTAACAGACATTGTTGGTCAAAGTCACATTTTCATAGCTAAAATTATTATTTTCTGCCCAGGCTGGCATAGCCTCCTGAGCTGTATTTATTGATTAAAAAAAATGAGAAATTTAGAACTAAAGAGAAGTTTAAAACTAAAGGTTTGTAACAAAAGTATTTTATTGTTGCAATTAGTCTATATAAAGGTCAAGATCAGCCTTCGTGGACCAGCAGATGAAGCTTGTTGCTTCGTCTTCATCGCACACTTCATGTTGGTGAATTTCAAAATAAAACAAAATGAGTCCAATGAAGGAGATCCATCATGGTTTCAGATGGCTCCCTGCTGGTTCTGGACCTCATAGGAACACCAAAGTTCATGTTCAATAGTCCAGGTACGTTACCTAAATAATGCAATAAGCACTAACAGCATAACCACATTACGTCGAACAGCAGCATGAACATGAGTCTGTGTGAGCAGATGGGCACGCATCAACACATCAAGATGAAACAGATCAGCAGCAACACGAAACGGATCAGCAGCAACATGATGTGATTTTTCACAGTGATTATCATGATTAGAGATTCATGAGTCTAACAGCCTCAGGGTAGAAGCTGTTCCTCAGTCTAGTGGTTCTACACTTAGTGCTCCTCAACCTTCTTCCTGAGGGGAGTGGGGCAAAAAGTGTGTGTGCTGGGTGAGTGGGGTCCTTCATGATGCAGGTGGCTCTCTTCCTGCATCTGGAGGTGTAGATGTCTGTGATGGTGGGGCGACTGACTCCAACAGACGTCTGTGCAGCCTTCACCACTCTCTGCAAAGCTTTTCTTTCTGCAGCTGTGCAGCCTCCATGCCACATGTTGATGCTGGAGCACAGGATGCTCTCTACTGCACACCTGTAGGAGGTGGTGAGGACTGAGCTTCCCAGTTTTAGCTTCTCTCCATTGGCTCCTTGTCAAGTGGCTTTTAACTTAGAGTGAGTCAGTATCTGTGTCTTAATGTTGTATTCCTTTACTTATGATGTTCTGATTTTTTAAAAATATATATTTAGGTGTTTTTTTATTGTTTTACTGTTTTTTGTTTGTTTTTAATTTTGTACAGCACTTCGGACGGCTGCTTGTTGTATTTTAAGTGCTTTAGAAATAAATTGGTAATGTATGGTAAGTCCAGAATTGAATTTAAAATCCTACTTCTAACCTACAAAGCTCTCAACAACCTAGCTCCATCTTATATTCAAGATCTTATTGTTCCATATTTTCCTAACATAGTACTTCACTCTCACACTGCAGGTTTACTTGTGGTTCCTAGAGTTTCCAAAAGCAGAATGGGAGGAAGATCTTCCAGTTTTCAGGCTCCTCTCTTGTGGAACCAACTTCCAGTTTCTGCCCATGAGGCTGACACATTGTCCCGTTTTAAGACTGGGCTTAAGACTTTCCTTTTTGATAAATCCTATATTTATGGTTGGCTTGTTATGCTACTATAGGCTTGGACTACTAGAGGACAAATTGACCTCATTTCCTTAAATTAATTGTTAAAATTGAATAGTTTTCATTTGATACTATTTCTATTTTAACGTGATTCTTGACCTGCCATTGTGTATCTGTTCCTACCAAACCCAGTCGGTTGAAGCAGATGGCCGCCTGTCCTGAGCCTGGTTCTGCTAAAGGTTTCTTCCTCATGAGGAAGTTTTTCCTTTCCACTGTCACCTTTATGCTTGTTCAAGATGAGAGTTCTGTGATGGAGTTAAAGTCAAAGCAGTCTGCTCCTCAGATAAATAATGTTAAATTATTATTTTATATATGAATGTTTTTGTTCAGTGCCCTGAGACGACTTCTGTTGTGACTTGGAGCTATAGAAATAAACTGAATTGAATTCTTCAATCCGAGGAGCCACGAAACAGATTCCCTGGATTCCCTGAACTGGAGTATGCTGTTTGTGGGAAGGGAACCATTTTGTTTGGTGCCTCTTCAGATTGAAGAAGTCCTTTGGATGAAGGATGGAACGTCTCAATGAAGAAAAAAAAGTAACCATCCAGATGACCTGACTGAACATTGTTGGACCTCAGAGGAAGTTCTGATGAACCTTAGTCTACATTTTGTTGGTTCAGACCTTCTGACTTCGGACCTGCAGGTGACTTCCTCTTTCAGCGCTTTAATGGAAGTGAGGCCGACCACAGCCGAGCGCCGGGTCGGGCTTCTGCTTCAGGTTCTGACAAGGAGGATCCATTACACCTGCTTCAAAGACAAGTTCCTCCTCACCTGAACCCGAAGGAACCGACACTCCACAGTTCATGTGTGGGAGCGACCTGACAGAACCAGTAGGTTGAACAAGTCCAGTTCGTAAAGTTCTGCTCAGGCTTGAAGTTTCTTCAGTGGATTCTGTGGGTCTGAAGTAGAACCTGAGAGTCATTTCAGATGTTTGCAGTTTAAATGTCCTGGACCTTCAGACGCTTCTTGGTTCTGGTATTTATTAGAATGGGTTCAGAGGCTCTGACATGAACTGTTATAACATGATGGCAGCAGATAAACAGTTTAGTGAAGATGGCGCCCAACAGAACGCTGCTCTTGGACCGAGCCAGAGGTTCTCAGCAGGAAGTGGTTTGTTCTCTGCAGTCGTCCTCTGAACGTAAACTATCAACTGAGTAGAATAAAACAAACTGCAGCTTCTCATTAGATTCATGTTTGTTGCTGTTGTGGACCTGCTGAGTTGCATTCAGAACCTGCTGTGAGCTCTAACAGAACTCCTGTGTGTTCAGGAGGAGGAGCATGTCTGTGGAGGTGGACTTGTTGCTGCAGGAGGCGAAGGAGAGCATCGAGGCGGCCCAGAACTACCGCAGCGAGCTGCAGCAGCGCCTGCATGGCCTCAGCCAGGCCCGCAAACAGGTCTGTTCATACGCACTGCCACCAGTTCTCCTTCTGTTCCAGGTTCAGCGGGTCGAGGGGACGAGAATCTGAGCTGGAGGAGTCTCAGGTGACTCCCACCCCCCACCCCCGTCCAGCTGCTCGGCTGTAAACCATACAGCTACTTCCTGTTTCTACAGAGTTTTCGTTGTGAAACCAAACTCCAGACAGATAACATAGGAAGTTCTGTTGAGTCAAACAGAACTCTGCTCAGAGTTCTGCAGCAGATGGTCCAAATAAAGTCCTGGGCCCTGATCAGGGACAGTTGAGTCCAGGTGGACTGTATTCTCGAAGGCTGTGATAAAAACTGCAGCAAGTTTCTTAAAGAATTTTTTTTATTAGTTTAACTTTGGTTTCTGACAGTGGTTCTGCCTGTGTCGTTGCTGGGCTTCTGCAGAACTCCCCAACACACCGAGGAGCTGAAATGATGCCATTTGTTCTGGAAATCCTCTACAACCTGCAGAACAGCCTAAAACCTTCCCGGTTTATTTAAAACATTTCAGAACTACAAAATATGAAAAGTTTGTTTCTGTCTGATATTTTTATTTCTAGTTTTAAAACATGAACAGATGGAGCTCCTTACTGACAGTTCAGTCTCTGTTACCATGGTGACCAGAGCAGGAGGTAAGCACAACCTTGGTTATTATGGTGACCAGAGCAGGAGGTGAGCACAGCCTCTGTTACCATGGTGACCAGAGCAGGAGATGAGCTTAGCCTCTTTTACCTAATTGACCAGCACAGGCAGTAACCTCAGCCTCTGTTATCATGGTGACCAAAGCAGGAGGTGAGCACAGCCTCTGTTACCATGGTGACCAGTTTAGGAGGTGAGCACAGCCTCTGTTACCATGGTGACCAGAGCAGGAGGTGAGCTCAGCCTCTTTTACCATGTTGACCGGCACAGGCAGTAACTTCAGCCTCTGTTACCATGGTGGCCAGTGCAGGAGGTGAGTACAGCCTCTGTTACCGTGGTGACCGAGCTCAAACATCCTGGGTTTAAAGCTCAACAGAGCTGTATAAGATAGAAATGTGGTTTCTTCCGACTGTCTGATTTAAACCACTTTACAGAAGTTTTTTTTTTTTTCACCAACTCCAGTGGGTTATTTGTCTTATTTGTTTGTTTGTTTTGTTTACAAGTACACACTCCTTTATACCTAAAGCAGGAAGCCTTGCTTGCTCCTATGAAGAAGTAGAATTAGTTATTTATAACACTGTTTATATCTAATAAACATAACTGTAAATAACTGTTATCTTATATGATGTATAACATGTTATTTTACTGTTATAATAGTTGACATTTATAACACAGTTTGTTTACAGTCATGTGAAGTTGCTTCTAAAATCAAAGATCAGACTTCTAATCCGTCTCCTCCACACCAATGATGCTGGTGTGGCTGAACATCCCCCCC